GCCCTGCCAGCAAGGGTGAGCCCAGGGAGGCTTCCTGGAAGGGAAATTGGTATTCCTCATGCTCACACTTTCATGCCTGACTACCCCTGAATCTCTAATCACTTCCCTTTATGAAACTCCTACCTCCCGCTGTACTTTCTTCTGTACATATTTAGACTGCTCCTATTCCTATACAGAGCTTTAAAAAGAAAGTATACCTAGACTCTACCTCATTCCAGGAAAAGAGTGTAAGACATACACTGTGCAGCAGTAGCAGCAGGCATGGCCTCGACAGTGTAGATACATCAGTGAACAGTTTGAGTCCCACCCCAGTTCTTTCCGTCACTCCTCACTGCCTGCTTCCGAAGCACCTCCAGGTGGCCAGGGCCTCATCCCGAGGAGGCACTTTGTTCCCCGAGCACATTGCTTCCTGACAGCAGCCGAGTGCTCTTCCCTTCGCCCATCCAGACGGTCAAGTTCTCTCAGTGCTCGCTTCACCCTCTCTCTCAGACCTCCTCTTTTCTACTGCCCACTCCCCAGTCCAAGCCACTCTCTCCTCTTACCTTTTCCTGGTCTGGAACCTCTTTAAAGGTAATTGCTTTCTAGTTTTGCCAGTAGCCACTAACTGCTATCCCTGCTTCTATCTTTTGAGGGCTTTCCATTATCTTGGCCATTACTAAGAAGGCCCGCATAACCTAGCCCTTCTCTACTTCAGCTTCCTCATTGCTCATTCCTCCCAACCCATCCTCACCCCTCCCCACACTCTGGGCTCCAGAACCCTTGCTGCTCTTCTGGAATCCTGGATTGCACCTTGCTGTTTTTCACTTCAGGGCCTCTGCCCGGAAATACTGTTCCTGGGTGCTTTCATTTTCCTTTTTCTCTTCCTTCCCAACATGGCTTACTCTGCCCAGCTTTTAGGTCTTCACCTAAATGTCACTGTTTCAAAGAGGACTCCCAAGATACACATACCTCCACTGCTTCAGATCTCAGTTCTCTGTGTCCTGTGTTTTTCTTCAATAGCTTCTATCACAGTTCATAATTATCTATCTGTGATATCTGTCTGTGGAGTAGTCAGTTATTGTTTTTATATCCCCAGCATCGACTACTGTGTTTATCCCTGAAGTCTCCTGCATAGTCACCCAGTGGATGAGTAAAGGTGGTGATGGGCTTGGAGGGGCCTGGGATAGCTGAAAGGGAACCCCTGCGGAGCTGTCCCCGGTGGTCAGGGCTAAGAATTCTTGGTCTCAGCATAGGGATACTTGTTTTCTTTTGCTAACAAGGTCTGAAGTGACACCTGCAGTTATAAACAGGGAAGTACACGAGTCACCGCTGCAGCTTGCCACCTCCCTTCTGGGGGCAGATTTCAAGTTACCTTTTCAGAAACAACTTGTCTCTAGCTGAGTGGTGCATGTCTGTTGGTTGTCAGATTTCAGAGCACCGAGAATAATGGACCCATTAAGGAGGTTCTTGAGAAAAGTCTGTAGGAAAACCCTGGAATTGTCTTTTCTGTTTCCCTAGCTCCAATACTATTGGCACTAGTGGCAGGAGAAGCTGCTGGCATCATGGAAAACATAAGTGATGATGTGATCGTTGGCCGATGCCTGGCCATTCTCAAAGGGATTTTTGGTAGCAGTGCAGTGCCCCAGGTGAGTGAGTGGGGAAAAGCGGGGACCTGGGGTTTGGACAAAAGACACGTTTGACATAGTCTCTTAAGTTGCAGCACAGGTGCTTGGTCAGGACAGTTTCAGCCAGAATTGAGAAGTGTGTATGGATTTACATGAATGCTAATGTCTGGAGTTCATGCCTAAGTGTGGGATTCAGAAAGTTATTTGCTGCATTTCTTACCGTCACCACCACACCCCACCTTTCAGAGTGGCCAGACTCCCTCAGGGAAGTCTTAAGATAATCTTTTGGTACTTTTTTCTATTCTTTAGGCCCATTGAAACACTTACAGACCCTTATGATTCCTTTGAAAGGAGGTATATCAGTACTTCATGTGAATTTGGGAGAGAGTTTTTAATTTAGATCAAGTCCTTGGTAGAGCTCTGGATTCATAGACATAGGCTTGGTTGCAGTCTGAAGGCGTTCTGTTACATATTTTAAAGCATCAGCATTTACCACTTGGCTCTCATGTCTGTTTCCTCTTCAGCTCTCTCAGAACTTGTATCTCCGCTCACCACCATTTTCCACCTTTCAGATATTACTGTCTGTCCTTAGTGTCCAGCAGTAACTTCTGCCCATGGTATTTTCTTTAGCCCAAGGAAACGGTGGTGTCTCGCTGGCGTGCTGATCCCTGGGCCCGGGGCTCCTATTCCTATGTGGCTGCAGGATCATCTGGGAATGACTATGATTTAATGGCTCAGCCAATCACTCCTGGCCCCTCAATTCCAGGTGCCCCCCAGGTGAGAAACTAACAAACTGTACCTGGGCTTATTTGGGAAGAGGCCAGTATCCCAGGTTCTCAGGGTAAAAATGCCACGGATTGGTACAGATTTAGTCAGTCTTGGACCCTTTCACATAACCCAGAGCAGAGGAAAAGGGAGGAGCAGTTATCTTTTGCATCAGGTTTCTCACATTTTGGCTTTGTTAAATCTAAACAGTCTGTATTCAGATTTTTGTCCCTATAAAACAAAATAAAAAGTGTTTTTAATTGCACCCCGTTTTGTAATGGTTCATAGGATTGTTGCAGGCTCCCAATCACTGAGAAATAACTTTGGGCCCTTACCTAGACGATGCCTGACCCTGCTCCAAAGAGGAGTGTGTTCTCAGGACCTGCGCTAAGACAGACCTGCTCTGAGCCGAGTGAGAACAAAGGCTGTGTGCTCTGTGGTTCAGGGCAGTCACCCCCACCTCCAGTAGGTAGTGCATGAGGCAAGTGAGCTTCAGAACTGGGTGTCCCCAGAGTTAAACTGGAATGTGAGAAGAGGTGCAATTACATGTCACTCTGGAACTAAGGCTGGGCTGAGTTTTGTTGTCCCCTCCTAGTTCTGTCAGTTCTAATAAAACGCCTGCTCCTAAGGGCGACCCTTTTTGGTAGAATGATGGGCTAGTGGTTTGGGGGTGGATAAGTTCAGCCTTAAAGGCCAACAGAAACTTGGAAGTTTAAACACAGCAAAGGTATATTTGCAATGTGCTGATTTCCTCTTAACTTTTCTTCCTCAAATAGCCAATTCCACGACTCTTCTTTGCTGGAGAACACACAATCCGTAACTACCCTGCCACCGTCCATGGTGCTCTGCTGAGTGGCCTTCGAGAAGCAGGAAGGATTGCAGACCAATTCTTGGGAGCCATGTACACCCTGCCTCGCCAGGCCACGCCAGGTGTCCCTGCACAGCAGTCCCCAAGCATTTGAAACCAATGTACCCTAAGGGAAGAGGCTGACGTGTGTGTCTTTTGCTGTGTAAGCAAAGTTCTTCTAGCAATAGATTCCTGAGAAACCTGCCCTGGCTTTTGGGCTTCCGGTCAGTTACCGAAGTTCAGGATGGCCAGGTGGCCCAGGAGGTTGTCTCCTTTGAGTGACTTGGAGCCAGGGATGAAGGCACTTGTCCAGTTAGTGTGGAAGTGTGTGTTCTTCAAGACGGAGGCAAGCAAGTGCTATGAGAGAACATCTTAGTCTCTTGGTGTGTGGTAGTTTTTTTTATATTTTGAGAATAAAACTTCATATAAAATTAGTCCTATCGTTTTGTTTGTTTTCCCTTAGCGTTAGAGCTGTATACAAGACAGGAGTGTTCTCCGTTGGAGATGTTAATGTCATCTGTTTAATGAGGAGGATGTTTATGTAAAGGAGAAGATGACTTGGTCAGAAGACAGGCTCCTGTAGAACAGTGGGCTTCCTGGTCTGTGAGGCTAGATTTCCCCACAAGGGTGGGGAAGGTGACCATGTGCCAAAGGCATGAGCATACGGATATCGGGAAACTGAATTCTCAAAAAACCAGACAACACAAAGTTTGGGTAGTCCTCTACAGACCATCCTGGCTTTATTCTCCAGATTCCCTCCATGGGTATGTCTAACTGTACTTCTGTCCAAGGTACTGGTATAAAGTTTTGGCAACTTCTACATAAGGAACAGATCAAGGGTTTAGGTAACTTCGCTACTATAACAAATTACCAACAAGCTCTGAGGGAAGATTCTATTTCCTTGCTTTTCTCAGCTTCTAGGGGCTGTCTGTATCCTTGGCTTATGGCCCCTTCCTCCATCTTAAAAGCACACCAGTCTCTGCTTCCATCATCACTTGTGATCTTTAGATCCCCCTCCATCTCACTCAGGATACTTGTGATTTACTTTAAGGCCCACCCAGATCATCTCCCCCATTTCAAAATCTTTGAGTCTCTTTTGCCATGTAAGGTAAAAACTTGTAGGAACAGAATGTCTGCCTATTCCTTACCCAAGGGCTCTTAGCAGACTAAATGCGAGTGTATAATCTGCTTCTAGAAATCGGATTTAACTTGCATTAGTGAATTCTTCCCTAAATGAGGTTTTATTCTTAGTAAGATTTAAGGGATATTACATTGGTGGTCTGAGTGGAAGGCTTTTTCCCTAGTCTTGGGATGAGTGACAGTAATTAGGAAATTTTGCACACCAGAATCAGAGCAAGTGGTATAATTGATGTAAAGGTGAGAGTAGCAAACAGTGGGAAGTATGACGACTTTGGAGCCCAGCTCGGCCATTAATATTGTTACCTTGGGGCAGGGAGGGGGTGGTTAAGGTGTTTGAACCAGTGTTAGGTGCTTTTGTTTTTTAAATAGATGGCATAGGACCCTTGAGAGAAGTTTGTTTTGTGTGTGACAAGCCTAAAAATAAAATGTAGCAATAAAATAGGTGCTGGATGATTCTAATACCAATTCAGTTCTGGCTTCTAGGTATGTTCTTTACTAAGCCTCAGCTATGTTTCCAGTCCTTACAGCACCAGTAATTGGCTGAGAATTTTAAATAAAATACGGTGAAATATACTAGCTGCACCAACGCATAGAAAAGTTGTATGCAGAGATGACATCAACACAAATGGCATCACTGACTCACACACGTGGAAACTAGGGAGCTTTATTGGTTACATATTGTGCTGCAGAGCCGACAGACAGCATGAGAGCCAGAGGATACATGCAGACAGGCAGCTTCAACTAGACACATGCACCCAAGGAGCCCTGAGTCACTGCTCACGGCTTTGCCCTGGTTTCCAGTGGCAGGGTTCCGGCCTCCTTGGTCCCATGCCCGGAGCAGGAATGTAGAAGCTGCTGCACCCAGACTCCAAGGGCCAGGCGGGGAGGCCCGAGCACCTGCCTGAGCAAGTAAGTGTGGACCAACAGATAATGTAATAGCAGTTTTTGCGGGCTACTTCCCCAGCCCTCCCAACCTTTAAAATACAAAAAATAGACTTTATTCTCTTAAAAATACATTCCATTCAGTACATTGTTCTGAGCTGTGAAGCAGCAGGAAAATAGGGCCCCTTTCCTATGATCTTGGTTATGAGGCTTTGAGAACCCTGTTCCCCACGCAGGGTATTCAAAAGATAATCCCTAAAAGCAGCTCTTCCAAAGCAGTCTTCAACAACCAAAAACAAAACACCACGCCCACAAAGGCAGTTAGGGGCCAGACCAGAGGCTGGGTCCCTGTTCCCTTATTGGAAAGTGGTAGCACTTGGCACTAACCCACTAAATATAATGAACTAAAACTGCTCCAGGATGACAAGTCCAAGATCAATATAGACCCCTTCACACCCCAGGAGAGAGGGATGATTTATGTGCAAGCTTGCCTGTGGAGAAGGTTGGAATCCTTGGCCCCACTGCAAATCCCTGTAACCCACATTATAACTGCTTCATTGCCACTCAAAAGCAGAAACACCCACTGCTTCTTTTTGCCCGTATCCCTGCAGCTTTCTCCAGTTTTTAATACCAGAACGGCAAGAGACAGGTGAGAGCAGGTAGAAGAGACCAGCTCCTGGCTTTTGGCCAGCTCTACTTCCTCCAGCAAAGCAGCTCTGGAGAGCCAGGTTCCCCGCCTCACTAGGACCCTCCCACGACCACATACCTGCCAGGAAAATTGAAAGTTCGAGCTAAGCTGCAGAAAAGGCCTGTCGTAAAGTGGGTTTATTGGCTGGGACAGGGAATATTTGGCTTGATTAGAGAACTATTCAACTACCAGGTCTCCCTTTTATTTGGATGTTTCTCCCAGAACCCCTGATGATGAGGCCTGGGTCCAGATGGTCTCACCTAGGTTGCTTTTCAAAAACGTGTCTTCCAACTTTGGGATCTGAGAGCCAGCCTTGCCAGCCATTTGAAGCCCAAGATAACTGAGCCTATAGCCTTCACAGGCTATTACAAACGGTATTTTCTATAATGCTGAGGACATTTCTTTAAAATCTATTTTCAGCAGTTCTAGAAAATGTGCAGATGAAACAAAATATCCTGAAATAACTGGTACAACCAAACCTTATTGCACTCAGATTTTAAGATAGCCGCCCCAGCGAGAGAGCATCAGAGCTGTCCCTCTTCCACACAGCATTTTGGGTAGCGGCAGATGTTGATGTTCCTGAAATGTGAACAGATCCAGACTTTGGCACCAGGAGCTACAGCACCAGAATCCAGGGCTCCAGTGCCCAAGATGAGAATTATCAGCGAGAACTTTGAAGGCATGGCTTGGCACTCGTGTTTCCACCGGCAGAGAAGAGCCAGACCTTCCTATACTCTTAGTTGACGACCAATGGAAGTCAGTTTCCTTTGGACTGTCAGGGTTGCCAACCAGTGAAGATGGTAGGGAGGCTATAAGTGAGAGGTTGCAGCCTTGAGAAAGCTAGTTTCTGGCTGGTGACCCAGGAGAAATCAGTAGGAAGAGGTTTTGAAAATTGCATCTGAAGTTGAACATCTGAGGCAGCAATGTGAAGTACAGGCAAGCCTCATGACAGATTGGCAAAACTCCAGAAAACGGAAACAGGAGCAAAACATTCCTGTCCCTGAAAGGACAGTAGGTGCTCCCCAAGCCTCCAGGACTGCCAAGTCTGATGCAGACATAGGGGGGATGAACATTGATTCCCACACTGAGTAAAGCCAGAAAAGATGACTCAAGAAGCATAGAAACAGGACACACACCAACTGGTGTTATGGAAAGTGCAAGCAGGAGATACTGTATGGCATTGGTGCCAAAAATCTAACCATGTTACAGACTGGAAAAATGAAGCCAATGGAGTGTTTCTGAGCTCAACCTCACGATTAAAAGGGCCCAGGAAAACCATCAAAGGACACATTCCTCAAACCCATTTGGATGACTGACACCTTACAAAATCGAGAATCACACCACCACCACCCAGCGGGATGATGGAAAAAGAATCTTAGACTGCCAGATTTAGGACCCTTAGAAACCATTTCAAAGAACTCATTTTATAGATAAGGAAACTGAGGCAAAGTACAAAGCCATTAAGAAAATCTAGCTTCCCTGACTCCTACTCTGCTTTCACTATGAAGGAAGTCTCTGCTTCATAAAGGTAGCCTTTGAAGGGGATCCCTTTTTTGAACTGAGAATGCTATAGAAATAGCAGTGTCAAATTACATGGTTTTTTTTTTTTTAACTTCCCCATGTGAATAAGCAAGCTAATCAGTTTTTATTTATGTGGCTTCCTGAAAAGTTTGCTGCATTCTGAATTGTATAAATCTGGGGCCCTTAATGGACATGTGTTACCTTTCCTCCCATGAAGTCGTCATGATAGTTCGTTTGCAGGAATCATGGGCCCACTTCTGTAGGAATGCATCAGCTTGGTAAAGTGCGATACCTCCTCCCTAGGGGATGGAGGAGGAGGAACAAAGTCCAGGCCTTTCATGGAGCTATTGCTTTGTGGAGTGACTAAAGGGAAAGTGCTTCTTCCTGTCCACTTTCCCTTTGCTGGGCGCTTCCTAGAAGGCAGAGTATGCTGGGTCAGGCCCAGTTTAGTCTGGGAATATTCCGAAGGTGGAAACAAAGTCAGCGTGAAGTCTCCAGCCACAGGAGAGAAGCAGGCAATGCCAGTAGCATTATTGGTGCCCAGGGAAGGAGATGCATGAGGTTTGTGCACTTCCGGGTGCTTTTGGAAGGTGAGCTGGGGTCGGGGGAGGGATGATGTCATTCCAATAGGTGGGCAGGTATCTGTGTCTCTGCCTCCAGAAAACAGTGGTCAGCAAGGGGGCCAGGTCATAGTCCCATAATCCCCTAGAGGCAGCACAGACCTCTCCGGTAAAGTCTGAGGAATTCCGAAGGGGAAAGGAATGGACGCTCCCTAAATGGAGCTGACGGCTGGTAAGTCTTAGTGTCAGTACTTGGGTCCCGAGGGCAGACAGGGTGTGAACTGGATGTGGTGAGGAGACCAAGAAATCAGAACATTAACTGCGTGGAAGGGGGCTATTGTGTGGTGAGGCTATAAGACGGTTCTATATCATTCCCTATTTGGGGGCCAGAGTGGCCGATTCTACCGGGAACAGGGCAGGGACAAGGAGAGGGGACTCATGCATCAACCGGGGAAGGCTGGGCCTGGGTGACTGTCCAGCTTGTAGTTTCTGATCTCCATTGGCCACCTGGCCCTGAGCCACAGCCTGGCTCTCTGCTACAATCTCCCAGCCAAGGCCTCGTGTCTAGCCCAGTGAACTGGCCCGGGATCCTTCATAGGATGAGAAGGTGGAGGAGCTGAGCAGGAGCAGAGGACACAGCAGACCTCACCCGGCTGGCTCAGTTTTCCTCAGCACAGGGCCTGGTTGGTCGTGATCGTTCCTCAGCCTGTACTTGCCCAGGCTCTGACAGCCCCTGCTTCACGGGCAGTTCAGGCCGTTCCATGGAGCTGTGTGGTCGCCTGTAGACACTGAGTGTGCAGTCATCGCCTTCTTCCTGTGCCAATAGATGACAAAAGTGAGATATGGAAGACAATATAGTGAGTAACAAAGATACCCTCACTCCCTATCCCTGCTATCCCAGCGGTCCCTCCAGCCTGGCAGAGAGAGATCTAGCCCAGACAGACCAGCAAAGATAAACAGGCCAATATAAAAATTCCTTGGAAATCAGAATAGACTGCAAACTCCAGTCTGCTAGGAACCCCTAGGGTAGACTGGGGGGTTCCCAAGTGAACAGGAGCTCTACAGAGTACAGGGCCAGGAATGGAGGCATGGGAGTGGTACCCTTAGGTAGTAGCCAGTGGTCCTCTAGTTCTGCACATGAAGGCTGCATGCTTCTCAGGGTGAGAGCCATTTCCTTGGTGGGTAGGCAGGAAGTATGCTGAAACAGAAGCTGGACAGCTCTTTTCCTACTTCCCACCGATAAGTCACATTCCTTCCCTTTTACATGCCATATCCTAGTTCTCATCACATACCTTTCATCCTATCTCAGACAGCCTAAGTTTCAGAGGGCTAGACACCCATCTTTCACTTTCTTCTGCCAGACTTCTGCCTTGTTAATGTTTTGCTTTGGTGCTCCAAAGCAAATTAAGATCAAAGGACACAAGTATGAGTGAGAAAGGGTGGCAGGTTACAAAGAAGAGTAGACTTAGAGATAGGAATCCTGGATTCAAATCTTAGTTCTTCCAGTATTTATTTCCCTTGGATAAGGCACTTTCTGTCTCTGACCTTCAGTTTCTACATCTAAGAAAATGGAGATAAAACCTGCTCACGGCTGTTGGAGAGACTGAATGAGGTAAGTAGGTGGAGAAGTGCTTTGTCAAGTGTTAACATCTATCTTCTATATATATAAAAGCCTAAGCAACCGTTCGACCAGTAGCTATGACACACACTGACCAATAGGGGCAGACGCTCAATGCACAGGCATGGAATATGGAACAGACTGATGAATCTCAGAGGGAAGGAGGGAAGGGGAAGGGAGGGAAGAGATTAACCAAAGATTTTATATGCATACTAGAGGCCCAGTGCACAGATTCATGCACCAGTGGGGTCCCTCAGCCTGGCCTATGGGGATCAGGCCAAAACTGGCAGTCCGACATCCCTGAGGGGTCCCGGATAGCGAGAGGGCACAGGCCAGGCCAAAGGACCCCACCAGTGCACAAATCTGTGCACCGGGCCTCTAGTATAATCATAATGTCTAGATCCAAAATGTCATCACAGGCTCCACATCTAAAATATACTCCCAGTGGCTTCCCCTTCAAATGCTGTTCTGACAGTCTGACCCTCAAATAAGGAGGAGCTTCTGGATTTATCTATCCTGTAATAAGCTACAGGAACCAGCCCTGCCCTCAGACTGATCATGTAATGGGCTTGACAGGTATCTGGGGCAAAAAGATGCTCAGGCATAAAGCCCATAAAGTAGGCTCAGTGTAAGCCCTAGCTCTCCTCATCCCCCTACATCAGGGGTGGGGAACGTTTGGCCCACGGGCTGTATATGGCCACCAATCACTTTGGCCCTGCCAAGACATTACTGGTGAGTTAATTACATGTTTGACCAAATATAACAGGTTAATTTTTAGGTTAATAATTTTCATGACCCTCAAATGATGTTATAAATATCCAAATAGCCCTTGGCAGAAAAAAGGTTCCCCACCCCTGCCCTACATGCCAGCAGCTGGCAAAGATCCTCTGTTTGAACTGAGGCAGCCAAGAATTCGTTTCCCTGCTCCATCTCTGCTCTACAGAAAGGTCGCTGGGCTTCCTCTTACTCAGAGCTTCCCTACAGCTGTTTCTTGTGTTTCTAGGTGCTGCTCTGTGGAGCCAGAAGGAGCGCTCCTTTGGCTACTCTGGCAACCCAAGAAAGCAGAGGCCCTATCTCCTTTTTTGAGGCCTGCATACATGAAGACAAATACAGGAGACAAATGGGAAAAAGGATTTTTGGAAATTAATGCTCCTTTGTCAAATACCTTCCTCAAGGTACTTTATTGTTTAAGGGCAAACTTGTCTTATTTTCAACAATTATCTGAGCTACCCACTGTTTCCCTGCCCCATGGTCTCCATAATCCTGAGTCACGCAAGCTAGGACAAAGGGGGCAAAGGAAAAAAGGGAAGGGGAAGGGACAGCTGAAGTGGGGAAAGAAGTGGGACTTACCATGCCTGCCACATGGTTCCAAGCCGCAGGCGTGACAGCATCGCCTACCCGATTCCGGCGAGTGAGCATCTCTGACACAGTGAGGCTACTTTGGGTCCTTCTAGAAGAGAGCTCAGGGGCATCCCCTGGGTTTCCTACCCTTCGAGGACCCTGCTCCAAAAGGTAAGACCTGGGCTGTTCAAGGTCAGAATAGTCTGTAGAAGACCTCTGGGTGTAGGCATTGGTAGATACCACATGTTTACCTATCTGAGTTGGGGGGTCTTCTAAAGAGTTCAAATCTCGCCTGCTCTTCCAGGCATTCCGCACAGTAACATGCCTGGCCTCTGAAGGGCTCACCTCCGAAGGGGCACTATGGCCTTTCCACCTGATTGTCTCTGCAGGGGGTGCATGGTTATTCCTCTCCACCAGATCCGAGGGCTTGATTATAATGCTGCTCCGAGAGACCACTGTTTCAGGCCTGTTCTTCAGGGACCCATCTCCCATTCTTTCAGCCTCTGTGAACTGCAAGGTGATGTCATGTTTGTGAATGGAGAGCTCAAAGGGAGAGTTGACATGGTTGCTCACTGATGTGAGGTCTGGTGGCCCAACCTGGATATTGCTGGTGGATGTGTGCCTCTCCCGCGGGGCCTCACCTGGAGCGGCTCTTGGGCTGCTGCTGCTACTGCTGTCAGAGGGATAGATAGTAATGCTGCTTGTCACTTTGTTTGGTCCTGGTTTGGAGGTGGATGTCTGTTTCTCCAATGTGGCCTCAGTTCCAGACCCTCCCATGATTTTTTTCACATCTTTATCAATGATGACAGGTTTGATGACAGCTCTGGACCGCAAGGCCTCTCTGGGACTGAAGGGCCTTTGACTTTTCACCCCAGCACCATTGGCCTCTGGGAATTCCACAGCATTGGTGGAGGCTCTGACAGGTTTCACAGATTCATTTTCTGTCCCGACATCTTTATCATCCCCCGACAGGGCGGTTCTAAGGCCCCCTCGGGATCTGGCTGTTTCTCTAGAGTTGGGCTGTTGTTTGTGCTCTGGCTCTGGGGTGATGGTTGTGTTGACCAATTTGGCGGTAACAAGAGACGACATGTCCATGTCGTCATCTGAGTCTGGCTTCTCTCTGCTACTAGATTTGATGACTCGACACCTTAGGGCCTCATGCTGACTGCTATCTTCCATCACAACTGCTACAGGTTGATCAACTCCTTTATTTGGGGTTGAAAAACCCTGAAGGATGTTCTCTTGGCTTCTGGAGCTATAAGGATACTTCGATGAAAGTGGAGCCTTAGAATTTGAAGAACTGGTATCAGCCTCTGGGCCATTGGCAGCCTTTTTGCCCTTAGAGAGCCCTTCTGAGGAAGATCTTCGAGATGAGACCAGAGTGCCAATGGCCTTAGAACTGCCAGAGTCTGCGGCCTGAGTTAGACTTCCATTGCTAGGCGCCTGCCCCCTCTTGCCAAAGAGGGCCTCAGAGGAGGTGTCAGAAGCCTTGTCAGCTCTACACAATATGTCATTGGGAGTAGATCCATGGGTGGTATCACTAAATGTTCGTGTTGTCTTCTCTACTTTTCCCTTCAACCCACTCTCAGTGCCTGGCTTGGGAGTACCCCTCCAAACCTTATTGTGCTCCTGAGCAGCGGGAGGGTAGCGGCTAAGCACTGATGGCTGCTCCCTGGACTTCTTCCCTTCACTCTGAGAGGAGCCAGATGCAAATCGATCTTCAGTTCTCTTTGTCTCCTGAGTCCCACTATCTGTACCTGCCCCTATGTTGGAAGCTTTGGCTGCCCTCCTGTTCGTGAAACCGGGAGAGGAAACCTGCCGGTTGCTCAGAGAATAGTTCTCACTGTTAAGAGCAAACTCCCTGTTTCGGTGCCTTTCCCGCTTATGCTGAGGGGACAGTTCCCGAGATGTGTGCTTGGACGCGGATACCTCACTCCCGTGGCCTCTAAACTTAGTCCTCTCGTGCCGGCCTTTGCTAGACAGGAAAGCATCCTCCCATTCCACCTCCCCATTCTCTAATTCTTTCTGTTTCTTGATTTGTAGCTTTATCTCCTCCAACTGGCTGGCTAAGAGTTTGTTTTTATTTTGTTCACTTAGGTAATTATCCTGAAGGTCATTATTTTTGGCCCTCATTTTCTTAAGCTCTTCTTCCAAAGATTCAAAATGTTTGATTTGTGTCTTAAGTTTCTCAATCTCTTGGTTAAGGTCTTTGACTTTATTGTCTTCCTGATTTCTGTTCTTTTCATTTTCAGATTTATTTCTTGTTTCATTCTCTACCTGCTTTAGATAGTCCAGCGTGCCCTTCCTTCTTGATTCTTTGGATGGCAGTGTGGAAGAGATACCGTCCTCAATCCGCAGGTCATTCCTTTCCAGAAGATTAGAAGCATTCCTTGTATAATCTCGGTTCATTTTTTTGTTCTGCTCCAGTTTTTGAGTGAGCTCTTTTATAAGTTTCTCATTTTCTTTCTCCTTTTCATTCAGGTATTTTCTCTCACTTACAAAGCTCAGAGTTAATGATTTCAGCTTTTCTAACTCTGACACTAAACTCTGCTCAGTTTTATCTAGGCGGTCCTCGGAAGATTCCAGTTCTTTCACTTTGACCCTGAGCATTTCCAGCTCAGAGGAGATTTTCTTCGTCAGGTTTCTCTCCTCATTCAGACTCAAACAGAGTTGGGTACAGTCATTCTTACTCCTGCTAAAGGCCTCCTCTAGCTTCTCCAGTTCGGCCATTCGTTTCTGAAGCCGCTCAATCTCAGATTTCAGCTCCCGGGTGAGGTTTTCCTCCTCTTCAAGTTTCTCCTTCATCAGCTGACACAGGTCCTCTGCTTTCTTAATTTCCTCATCTTTGCCTTCAATTCTCAGCACTCGTTGCCGCAGCACTTCAATCTCAGCCAGCATGCTGGAGTTGCTGCCTTCTGCCTGAATCACCTTGTCCTGCAGATCCAGGAGTTCATCCTCTGCTTTTTGGAGGTTTTTTGTGGCTTCTTCCAACTCATCAAGGCGGCGGCTTAGACTCTGTAACTTAAACCGCAGGTGGCGGCTGGAGGCAGTATCCTTGTAGTTTGTAAACTCAGCCATGTCTACCGCCAGCCAGTGTGAACTCCAAGGGGCATCCAATTCCACTCGAGGGGATGAGAAATGGTTACCTTTCTTTTGGCATCCACAACCTTCTTTGGCAGCTGGAGACCATTATCACTCTACAGACGGAAAACATAAAGCATGTCAGGCAGTAAATATAAAATCTGCATGTCAGCTCTCAAATGTGCTTCTTGTGCCTAAAACATAGCAGGTACTCTAATTTGAATAAACCTACAAGATAAGGTTCTTTATGGCTGATAATGAAGTGATATATAGTTTCAGCCTAATGAAGAATTCCACCAGTGCCCTGGCCAGGGTGGCTCAGTTGGTGGGAGTGTGGTCCCCTACACCAAAAAGGTCGTGGGTTCGATTCCCAGTCAGCGCACATACCAAAGTTGCAGGTTCAGACCCTGGTTGGGGCACTTTCAAGAGGCAACCAAAAAAGAAAAAAACACACAAAACAATAAAAACAATACCTCTAGGCAGTATGGCAAAAAGACACAAAAGAATGCCTCATTTCCTGTGAGAAAATCTTCACCATTTGCCATCTGCATAATCTCAGGAGAGTCATTAGTTTTTCTATAAATCATTAAGTAAACAGCCTGGGTTTTACTTAGTTGTAAAATCGGGATAATGAAGCCTACCATCTCTCTCCCCAGTACTGTTCTGAGATAATGCATGGAAAGCTCTTGGTAGGAAAGCAGTAAACAATCCTAAGAATGTTAAGAACTATAGCTTCTGGGAAAGCAGCAGACTAGTGAAAAAAAAAAAATCACCTTATTGACACAGGAAGATAACAGGACCTGGGTTCTTTTAAGGCAGAAAGGGAAGACAGTATACCTAGAGAATGAGTGGTCTAGGATGACTTGCTCTCACTGACTTGCTAACCTAAAAATGGTCTCAGCCTGGTAATATCCCTGGGAAACCTACCAGAGGTAAACAAAAATAGTATGGAAAGAGATTCCCTATCGAGTTCACACAAGAGTCCCACTGATGAAGTCCTGCTAAACCTGAGTTTGCAAGTCCAAACTACAAAACACATAAGGACCACTCTTTTATTATGACTGAACAAAAGAGGTTTGCACCAATAAGAATCAAAGTAAGATAGGCTACAGATCATAAATTAAGTCATAAAAGAAGGAATCAAAAACAGGACACAATAACAAGATGCTATCAATAAATATCAGATTTTTAAATTAACCAAATAAAATTTTCTAGAAATGTAAAGAAAAATAGCAAATAGATGCTAATGAAGAGTATAGTGGTTAAGAAGAGATATGAGGAAATTACAAAAGACAACACATAATTAAAGACAGAAAAAGTGAAGGAGAGGTTAATAGATAAGGAGAAATACAAAAGAGGTCCAAAAGTGACAAAGTTTAAGAAGTAGTACAAAAGGAAGGGACAGACAGAATGGGGGGAGGCAATCTGTAAAGAGCTACTAGCTAAGAAATTTCAAGAACTGATAAAAGATAGGCAATGGAGCTCGGCCGTCATGGCTTAGTGGTTGAGCATTGACCTATGAACCAAGAGGTCACAGTTTGATTCCTACTCAGGGCACATGCCCAGGTTGAGGGCTCAATTCCCAGTGTTGGGTGTGCCGGATGCAGCCAATCAATGACTCTCATCATTGATATTTCTATCTCTCCCTCTCCCTTCCTCTCTGAAATCAGTAAAAATATTTTTTAAATTAAATAAAAAGATATGCAATGGAGCCTCATATTCAGGAAGCAAAGTCTCAACCAAAATTAAATCTGTGCCTAGATGAGAAGGAAAGGAAAATAAAAACCTAAATGTTTATTAACAGACCCTCACTGAAAAAACTTTCTGAATGTACTTCAGAATACAGAAACTGATCACTTAAGGAAGGCATGAGATGGAAGAAGGGATGGAAGGTAAATAAATTTAACCCCACCAAGCACTGAATCAGTTAATAACAAAAATTAATTGGGTGGGAGGGACAGGATAAAATCAAAGTGGAACTAAAACATTGGACAGTAATAACATAGAAGTCAGAAAGAAATCACATTTCAAGAAAAACACTATTATTTGGTAATAGTAAGCATACTGAGAAGGCATTAATAAGCAATATATAAAGAACTGCTATAATATTAACAAAAACTCATTTAAAAAATTTTAGTATGTTTTTACTGATTTTTAGATAGGAAAGGAGAGGGAAAGATAGACACATCAATCAGCTGCCTCCTGCATGCTCCCTACTGGGGATCAAGCCCGAAACCCGGGCATGTGCCCTGACCAGGAATCACTGGTGGTAACTTCTTGGTGCATGGGACCATGCTAATCCACTGAGCCATCTGGACAGGCAACCTCATTTTTAGATGGGCAAAGGACTTGAACGGCAGTTTCTCCAAAGATGATATCCAAATGGCAACAATCATAAAAAAAACATACTCAGCATCACTAATCATTCAGGAAACGCAAATCAAAACCACAATTAGCCCAGCTAGTGTGGCTCAGAGGTTGAGCGTTGACACATGAAGTCACAGTTGGATTGCTGTTCAGGGCACATCCCAGGTCGTGGGCTTGATCCCCACTAAGGTGTGCAGGAGGCAGATCAATGTTTCTATCTATCCCTCTCCCTGCCTCTCTCTAAAATCAATAAAAATATTTAATTTTTTTTATTTTTTTTATTAGTTAAGGTATTACAAATGTGTCCTCATCCAATAAAAATATTTTTTAAAAAACAAAAACACAATAAGCTATCACTTCACACCCACTAGGATGTAGCCAAGCATTGGTAAGGATGTGGAGAAATTGGAATCTTTGTACACTGTTAGTGGGAAAATAAAATGGTACAGCTACTATTTTTTACCACAATAAAAAAAAATACCTTTAAAAAAATTTCAGGCAGTTAAGAAGTAAAAGCCACAGAGAAGGTAGGTCAGACTTCCAGTTTCAGGTCCAGCATGTGAGCAGCCTAGAAGTCATCACTTTGAACAAACTGAAAATCAGTAACTCTTCTTAGGTCTACCTGAGAACTGAGGTCACAGAGAAAAACTCTTCCCCCCAAAAATTAGACCAGTGGATTCAGAAAAATCAACACTTTCCACACTAGAAACCTCCATAAGAACTAGTATCAGGGTAAGAAAACCTAAACTGCAATTGACAATTGCTGAAGCACAGTGTGGACAACTCAGAGTTTAAAAAAACTCTTAGTAGGTGATAAAACCCTAATAGGTTAGGCTCTCCCTTTTAACCATTTCATTTCTCTCTCCTAAAAATCAATAAAAACATATTTAAAAAATAAGACAAAACAAAAAAAACACAAAGCTCAGAACACCAAGCAGAATAAATGTCAAAAAAACAACAAAAAAAACAACAACATCTAGGCATAGCATATTCACACTGCAGAAAATCAGAGATGAAAAAAACCTTAAAAGAAGCCAGAAGAAAAAATACCTATAAAGCAAAAGTAAGATTTACATCCAATTTCTCAGAAATCACGCAAGCAAGTGGAGAGTGGAGTGAAATATTTAAAATGTTGAGGGGGAAAAAACACACCAACCTATAATTCTGTACCCTGCAAAATTATCCTTTAAAAGTAAAGAAAAATGCTTTCTCAGACAAATAAAAATCGGGGGGATTTGTTGCCAGTAGGCCTGCCTTGAAAGAAATATTAAAAGAAATTCTTTAGTGAGAAGGAAAATTATATAGGTCAAAAACTCAGGCCACATAAAGAAAGAGCATTAGACTAGGAATGAGTAAAAGTAAAATAAAATTTTTAATTTTTAAAACTGATTTTAGAGGAAGGGAGAGAGAGAACATAGATTTGTTGTTCCACTTATTTGCATTCATTGGTTGATTCTTATATGTGCCCTGATTGGGGATCAAACCCAAAACCTTGGCATATTAGGACGATGCTCTAACCAACTTAAGTACCAGGCCAGTGCCTAATTTTCTGTATTCTTACTAGTAAGTGATCTAACAGATAACAGTTCAAAACAATAGCAACAATATACCCAATGGACATAATTTACATATAGATGAAGTAAATGCCAGCAATGATACAAGGGACAGAAGAGAGAAATTAGGATTACGTTTTTATTATAAGGTACTTGAACTTGAACTAACTCTAGGGCAACCATTAAAAAAAAAAAGTTTAATTGATATGCTAAGAAAGGAAAGAAAATGGCAGCAGATAAAATGCTCAATCAAAGCCACCAAAGGCAGAAATAAAAGACAAAAAACAAGGGCAAAAAACAAAACAGTAACAAATATAGTAAATATTAATCCAACTACAGAATCACTTTAAACATCAATAGTCTATATCACTTAAAAAGGATTGTCAGAGCGGATCAAAAATCAAGACCCAAATTGTATGTTATTTACCAAACACCCATTTTTTAAATTTTAATGAAGACCTATAGATTAAAAGTAAAGGAATGGAGAAAGCTATCCCATGTTAATACTAATCAGAAGAAAGCTGGAGGAGCTCCATTAATTTCAGACAGCACACTTCAGAGCAAGGAAAGTTATCCAGCAAAGAGGAGTATTACATAATGATAAAAGGGTCAATTCTCCAAGAAGATACAATAGTCCTTAAAATACACATGTGTTTGTCTTAAAACAGAGCATCAAATACATGAGGCAAAAACTGACAGAACTGCAAGGAGAAATGGATGAATCCAATACTACAGTTGGAAAGTTCCATACCCTTCTATCATAAATAGACAGACCTAGCAGACAGAAAGTCAGTAGGGACATAATTAAACTCAATCAACTGGATATGAACAGATTACTACAGCAGCAAAATATACATTTCACATGGAACATTCACCAACACAGACCACATTCTGGGCCATAAAACACCTTAACAAGCTGAAAAGAATAGAAAGCATACACTGTATGCTCTCAGACCACAATGGACTTAAACTAGAAATCGATACCAGAAAAATAGCTGGCATATCCCCCAAATACTTAAGACCAAACAACACATTGGTCAAAGAAATCTCCAAATTTGTGGGGTGTAGCAAAAGCAATATTTAGAGACAAAATTATAGCACTGCATGCATATTTTAGAAAAGAACGAAGATTTACAATCAAAAATGACATCTAAAACTAGGAATTTAGGAGGGAGGGAACCATGGTTTAAGCCATA